TTCACCATCAATGGGTTTAGTTTGCGAGTTAAAATTGACTCCAATGGTGCAAGCTCCGATTGGAAGCCAGGAACATTCAAAATGGATCTCATCCGGAAGCATAGCCCGTACAAGATTGCCTACAGTCACAGACAAGTAACAAATTTAAGTGATACATAACATAATGGCGTATGACTCCAACCCCACATAGTCAAAACTCTTCAAGACTTAAGGGTAAGATCTTTAACAATGATTGGTAACTACTAACTAGAGACGAAAATGATTTCACAGACGAGTTTTTGACTATACCTGACATCCAGAATAGAAAACTTGATGTGCTTCAGGCCTAACATCATCATCGCATGTTCTGCAATAAACCGCACACTCGTCTACCAATCTAGGATTTTAAGACACAAGAGAAACATTGTTACAACAAAGTGAAACTTGAGTCAGATCAAACAATTATCTTTATCCGTTTTTTAGCAATCTCTTTGTACCTTTTCAATATGCTAGCCACAAAAGAAACAGGCAGAAACTTTCCGGGAGACAAGTAGCTAGCAAGATAAGCCGCTGCACTCATCCTGTTAAGTAGGGGAGAAAACAAAACCGCATACAAGTGGTGATAAGAACAATATTAGCATAATATGATGCAGAGAAATATTAAAAATAAAGGACAAAATGAAACTCGCCTTGTAAGTCGATGCTTGTTGCTGGAAAGAAATATGTCCAGCAGCTTACTAGCAAATTTAACACCACAATTTTCAGGATCTAGTGAGCACGCATAGAACATCAGGAACTGCAGATGAAAGCAAAAGTGAGTCTAAACCAAGACATCTCATGCCGACAATAATGAACTAGAGTGTTAAAATTCTAGAATGACGAACTCAATAGTAAGTAAGGTGATAGCTATTATGCCTACCTGTGAAAATTTTGATTTAAACGTGTTCAGAATCAAGTTCTCAAAGGACACAAAGAGAATTTCAAACACCTACATCAAAATCACGAAAAACAGAACCGCCAAAAGATTAGTAAGCAAACCACAAAGGAAAGGAAAAATATGTTGATGAAGAACCATTTGGTGTCATACTTCATCCAAACGACCAGCGTTTCTACATGATTCAAGATGGTAAAACGATTTGACCATCATGTTGTCCAACAACTCAGAGACTTCATTTTTCCATCTGCAAGCTACAAATAGAAATCAAATTTATTATAACTCTCTAGGAAACCCGAGATCAAGTCCAAATTTTCACAGTAAGAGAAAAAGGCATCTTCTAATATTGCAAACTTTTTAATCATTAATAAGCATAGTCAAGTTTCTGAATTCTGCAAGAATAGCAAAAATAAAACAGACCCTACCTCGTCCCACTCATTCATAGTGCCGTCAACTGCATCTTCAAGTTCCATATCAAACATGCCTTTACTAGAGTCATCTTGGAGAATATCATCCGATCCAATTTCCAACTACAAAGACGCTCAAACATATCATTCACTTACCACTTTACTTNCNNGCGACATTTGTATAAACAGTTATTCATNAAGTATATTCTATCCACTTACATCCAAATCTCGCAACCTCTCCATCACCACCGTAATAATAACGCTGCCAACAACTTTTCCGATTGAGCTATTCTCCAACTTCAACAAGTTATCAACATATGTCACCATCAACTGCAAGATAATAAGATAGTTCTCATTTTGTTTATCGCCGATACAAGCTTGCCGTTTCATTGTCTAAATTTTAACACACGAAAAAACTTACATGTTCTTTTGCATGTATTTTAGGCATTTTATGGACGAGTATGGGCAGTAATCTCGATGGAGCAAGAGGAACCAAATAAGAAATTTTCTGCAGGGCTGCATGCACCCGGGAAAAAACTTGCCGCTTCTTGTCGCCCATACGGGATAGCACAAGAGGCGTCAAAAAAGGTGGTGGAATGAAATTACTTATAAGCATATTCAAACAAGGGTCCAGATACTTTCCACTCGTAGCAGCCTAATGATTGGAAAACAACATAAGCACAAAATGTTAAGCTCAGATGATATATTCATTACCATGTGGAATAGTTGCTGAGCTGCGTAACAGTGATATGATTAGGCCCACCAATGCATCCATTACATAAGGTTTGTGATCCCACAAGCTCATTCCAAAAATCTAATTACAGTAAATGGGAAAAGAACAGTTAGGGGCCTGCCTTACACAAGAATATATAAAGATTCAACTCTAGTACTAAAAACTTACAGAAGAAAGAAGATCTCGATGGTGAAATACATCTATACAAGCAACAGAACATGATAGACATTTCAAGAGTACCTGCAAAACGAATGAAAAATGAAGATATCTTAGCAAC